GAAATCACCAAATACACATACTAAATTTTGTTTTTGTCAGCAAATGATATTGGTATTTTCTTCATGTCAACAAATGGTGATCATAATTGACGAAGAATCTCTCATCTATATCACTTCACCACCTCAAAATAGCTGTTACAAGTGATTTTATGTAGAATCAATCTCAAGTCATGAGCTACGATTAGGTTGCATCGGTTCTGATTTACAAGTTGAAACCACTTTAATCCAATGTAGGGAAGACTACAAACCTTAATCCCTTCCAAAATCTCATATTGATGAGAAGTCTTCCGCACTTACCAAGCCCTTCTTCTTCTTCTTTTTTGAAAGTTTTTTTTTTTAATGTGTACCCTCTTTATTGTACAAACAAAGTTAACCATATGAAGTTTACTCTTTCTTTTTTCTTTTATATAGCTACTGTGTTTATCATAGATGTATCAAAAGTTTTTTTTTTGAAATTATAGGTTTTAGGGTTGTCATACTCAACAGGCTATTAGGTGTAGGCTAAATGCATTTCCATTAAGTTTTGAATGTTCTTATAGATTTTTTTAAAAAAATTGAATTTCTCGCCCCTGTGAAAAAATAGGTACTGCAGTTGTGATGGATATGATAGTGACCACACACTTCTAATGATCCCAAATTATGCTGATAATTTGGAGGAGCAACTGGGTCTTAGTATTTGTATTTGCTAGCCTTTCTTTGATGGTGAGTTTAACTTATTTTTTCTATGTAATACTGAAATTAGATCGAGGTGGTTGGGTACCCCTTATGGTGGCTGCCACCTTACTCGTTCTCATGTATGTTTGGCGCTATGGTACCATGAAGCGGTATGAATTTGAGAAACATAGCAAGCATTTCAATAATAAATTGAGCTTTTATATGCATATTTTTGTATAACTAACATTTATCTATCAAGTTACTATCAAGCTAAGCATAATCAAACAAGCTCTTATTTTACATAAACAATCTCTTATTTACATCCATCATTCATCATGTGATTCATGCAAATATTCTCAATATATAGTCGATAATGAATGATAAATTAGTGATTTACTATTATTATTTAACTAAAAATTATTCATAAATTTATGTCCTCATAAATTTAGAATCTTGAATCACATGCACTGTTGATGATCAATAGGGACCATGTCTTCAAAAAGTGGACAGATACAACAAAGAGATAAAGCTAAAGAAAAGGTTCAGAATATTAAGAGCATGAAATCCACCACTTGCATGTGGACAATTGCTACAGATGGAAGCAACAAATTTGGAAAATATAGAGAGTCAAAGTTAGTACAACCAATTCTTCATTTTTATGTACAGAGATAGCTACCGTGCATTATTAACTGGCAATGCACCTACCCCTATATCCTTCAATCATATGCAGCCAAAAAGAAATAAATTGTACAGTGGGAACCTTATTTACTGGGAATGTCATGTCCACATTGATCATTCATGGTGTGAGAACTGGTTGGACCGGTTCGGTTGAACTGGCCCTAACCGAATTGAAGTACAGGTGAAGAATTGATGCGAGCTGGCGAACAATGCGAGCAAGCATGGAGCACAGAGCGCAACTGGCGAGTTCAATTGCACTCATGTGAGAAGCAGTGTGTTCGAAAATGAAAACCGACAACTCCTCGTGTGAGATAACTTCGATTCGCTCACTCCAATTGAACTGCACTATTAGAAGAGATTCTGAAGGAGAGGAGGTTGACTGAGAGGAAGAAGAAGGAAAGAGAGAGAGAGTTCTTGTGTTTCCATTACTGGCAACGGGGGAGATAGAGAGAAAGAAAGAAAGAAAGAGAGCAAGGGGATGATACTTGTGAGCGCGTTCCCACTAGAAAGCGATTTCGACTGGAAGGAGTCATGCGTGCGGGTTAGGGCTCGGAGAAGAGGAAGAAGATTAAGTTTATATTTTCTACAATTTAAGTTATATTTTGATAAAACAAATGTATATTGTCACACATGGCATGTTTACACCTTCTAAATTAGTACTTATATTGTGTAGCTCTAAATTTTTTTGAATTTTATCATATACAGATATTTCAGAGTTGTTCACTGTAAGCAATTCTTATTTGAATTGGCTTCTTGAATATGAATATAAAAATGTCTATTCAAACTGAGATTAGGATTTACTAATGAAAATCTTTGTACATTTAAGTTATTGTCCTTTTCAGGTTAGTTATCTCACTTATTTTTACTTATCATAATTCTTATTTTAATCTATCATTTGGCTATTGATTATATAATGATAGAAGCGACATATAACTTAATTTGCTTTCACAAAGAGAAGTATACATATACAAGAGATACAACATGATATATATATGCATCAGAGGAAGTGAAATAAAGAGCCAATTCATTACTAAAGGATTAAATAATAAAGACATCCAAATAGCAATAGTCTTGATACAAGCAACACGAATATAAATAGAACCAAAAAGCAGGAAAGAAACTACCCAACCCATAGAAACGCAAACATAATAAACTACTACCAAAAAGTAAATAACGAAAGAACAGTTTACTGCTGGTAATTTTGCTCCTAAGTTGGTGATACATCAAACACGCATGTAAGACTTGTTGAAAAAGATGACGGATGAGTTTGATTTAGCAAGTAACTATTTATCAAAGCATAAACTACAAAGGAGTGAGGCATACAACATAGACAAGCAAAGGGTAGAAGTAACAACCTAAAGTCATCAAAACAAAATAGTACTGACAAATGTCATATTTCTTACAACATAAATTTAATATGCTAATGACATTATTACACGTGGCAATTCACTATCAATGCAATTATTTTAATGCCTTAAAATGCAATCATGCTAGGTATCATCAATCATCATACCTCAAAATGATCTATAATTATTTATTATTTTAATTCACATTACTTATATTTTCTTATAATTAAATATTTATATCTATTATTGGTTCATCATATATCCATCATTGGGAAGGTAAACACCAGCCCCAAGGAAATCCCGTCGACCCTGACTAGCCAAAAATCAATAGGGATATACCGACATACACATAATCATACAATACAAATGTTGTTATAAATAATCAATATGTGTTATATAAATCAATATGACAATTATAATTTATATAACCAACATGATTTACAACATGAGAATCTTATGTTGTATTGAATAAAACTAACGTATAAGAATTTAACCTTTTTCGGCAAGAACAATTTCAAATGCTAGAAGCTCGTGCATTCACAAATCAAAATAATATTTATACCACATGATTTCAATCTGAGCCATAAATAAGCTTTTTAATTTTTAATATTAATTTTTACATTAAAATAAAAAACAAAATATTATCCAATGCTCCTTTTTTTTGGATGCATACACATAGACTCGAACCCTAAATCTCTTAGTTGGAAGCCTAAACTCTTAACCAATAGGCCAAGGAGAACTATGTGTATCCAATGCTCCATAGCCACTAAGCTTGGCCAGCCTTACAGTGCATGGTGGCTCTGTCGCTCAGTCGTTTTATTCCCATAGGCGAATCTATGGCTACCCACTAAGCTTGGCCGGCATAAAGTGCATCGTCGTATTTCTCTCTCTCGCCCCTTTTGTCTTATTTATTATCGTACGCGAATGTGTGAGTAGATAAAGTTTCGTCAACAAAAAAAAGATTTCTAAGCAATTAAATTGCGTCCAAAATAAAGATTTTTTAATCTTTTTTATAACATAATTATAAAAAAAATTTGTATTTGGCAAAAAATGTTATCATGCATGCCAAGACGAGTCCATGATATGCCTAATCGAGCTAAATTTGTTTACTTTTTAATTTTTACTGAGCTTAAACTTGACTCTGTTAAACTTAGATTTTTTACTTTTAAATTAAAACTTTTAATATTTTATATGTAATTAATTTAAAAATATTAAAACATTTTTATATTATCAAAATTAAATTAATTTCTAAATATATTTTAAGTTAATCGAGCGGCTCAACAAGCTTTCGAGCTCAGCCAGGTTGAGCTCAAGCTGGAACTTATGATTTGATAAGCTCAACTCATGAGCTCGTTAATGAGTCGAGCTCGAGCCGATTCAGCCTGACACACATTATCTAGAAGCGCACAACAAAATCATAAATTAATTAGGAGGATTCATATTCATATCATATGTTTTTTTTATATATTTACATACATGTCCCAAAAACTTTTATATTTATTTATATTGCACTTTAGTTTCTCAATCATATCAAATGGTATGAGTGTATTTCATTTTTTTTAAAAAAAAGTTTATATTAGTAGCATATTTCATATAATTTAAATGCAATATTTAAATATTAGACATGTAAATACTTGAGAGTTTTGTGACATATTTGTAAATCCACCAAATAATTATTAGTATTTGCAGACATATATTTGCCTTTTTACCATAATTGATATGACAAATAATTAAACTAAATGGTTATATACCATAATTATGTGATATATATTGGAAAATTTACATGCATACCACTTTATAACATCTTATTTACATGTCTAACACCTAAAATTTTAATATTACATGCATACCACTCTATATTATTTTAATATCAAATATATCACTTGTACTTCTTTCATACCACTCATATATTTCATTTATACCACTCATATTTGATATGAAAATGAACTATGGTGGTATGTATGTAATATTAAAGTTTCAGGTGTTAAATATGTAAATAGAATAGTATAATGTAGTATGTATGTAAATCTCTCTAACATCCTAAACATTAATATTACATGACTACCACCCATAGAACAAATTTGGGTGCATGGAATGAAATATTAAAGTTTATAAGATCGTACGAATGATGAAAATGAATTATATGAGTAATATGTTTGATATTAAAGTTATATATGAGTGACAATCATGTAATAGTAATATTTTGAGTGTTAGATAAGTAAATATCATAAAATAAAATGATATGTATGTAAATTTCTCTTAAGATTATTGCGTCCTATTTAATTTTTTTAAATTGCCAATAATTCCAATGAAGAATATAAATTCAATATAAAATCCACAAAATCATTAATGCAAGAATCTACGATTAATGCAAAAAAGATCAAATTAATGCAAGGAAAAGCGACAGTCAACAATCCCAACAATAACAAAAATAATTAAAAAAACCCAAAAAGCGCAGTAATTAATTACCACATGCACCCGCACACTCTTCCTCTTCCATCGTATCACTTAACACCTTCCCCCTCGTCTCCGGCAAGCACGCCGCAAACACCCCACAGCACCCAATCGCCAACCCAAACACCCCAAAAGATAAGACCCTCCTTCTCCTCCCCTCCGCCACTATCACCGGCGCAAACACCCCGCCGAGCACAAGCGCCTGCCTCACCATCGCTATCGCCGAATTCCTCACACACGTCGGAAATAGCTCTATGCTATATATCAACACAAAGCTGAAACCCGTGCACGCCGAAAAGAACGCGGCTAACTCCGCCTCCGCCGCCATCTCTAGCCACCCGCCGCGGCCGCCTTTAGCGGCGCAGGCTAGGCTGAATAGGCCACTAGCTGCCGTGAAGGCGAGGGTGGAGCTGCGGCGGTTCATGTGGCTGATGAGGCAGAAGACGAGGAGGGATGAAGGGAGTTCGGTGATGGCGTTGAGAGCAACGCTTAGGTAGAGATTTGAGGAGAGGTTGCCGAGGTTGAGAGGCATGCCGTAGTACACCACGCCAACGCCGAAGCTGACGGTCATTAGAGCGGTTAGTCGCCGGAAAGCCCAACGGTTATACCAGAGTGTTTTGGCGGCGGCGAAGATGTTGTCGGAGGTCTCCTCGTCTGAGGTTGTGGGAATTGAAATGGAAATTATTGCAGTGACAATGAATATACAAAATGGAGAATTTTCGCATGTTAAAGAATTTGAAGTTGTTGAATTTATTTGGAAATTAAAATTTACATTATTATAATTATTTTAAAATAAATTCAATGAATTTGAAGCTTATAGTGATAAAAATATATATAATCTGAATTTTTTTTTTATTGAATTGCTTGAATTGTAAATAATTAGACGAAAAAAAGACTTGTTTATCTTGATAAAAATTTAAAATCTTATATAATTTATTTAACATATATGTAATATAATTTTGAATAACTCATATATATATATATATAATATTATATATATATATCTTAAAATAAATTAAATAGTATTGAGATTTATTGAAATGTGATATTTTTTAAATTTTTAATGAATATATAGTTTCTAAAGTACTTAGAATATAATTAAAAATAATATTTTTGAAAAAAAATAGAGGAATCAATTTTAGTTAGAAAAATTTTAAAAAATTGAAATTATTTTAAAATAAATGTAATACATAAATAATTAACTAAACTATAGATGATATATAAATTAAAGCTTTTTAATCCATCATTAAAAATTTACAAATATCCTCACCCACGAAATATATAACAAATAAATAATTTTATTTATTTCAAAGTATGTAATATGTATTAGTTTAATAGGAGATTTACATGAATATCATAAATTTTTTAGTATTATATATCTAATATCTTTTATAATATATATATATATAATTATATAATTATATATATATATATATAATATATATATATATATAATATAAGTACATATATATATAATTAAATCTCATTTCTAAATCAAATAAAAATTTTCTTTAATACTAACTTATTTAATTTGATTTTAAATTAATAGAAGGGTAAAGTACACTTCATTAAAAAAAAGAAAGAAAAAAAAATCTCACAAACCTGCACCAACATGTGGAACCACGAACGCCAAGTTAGAGAAACTGGAATTAATCACTTTATTGCCACCACCCGTCATCTTCTTGATCGTCTCAATAGCTTCAAGCCTCCTGCCCTTCAACAACAACCACCTCGGCGACTCCTTCATCGTAAAATAAACCACCACCGTATAGACAAACGCCGGCGCCGCAGTCAAAACATACAAAGTCCTCCAAGACTCTCCCCGCGCAACATAAGCTATCCCCGGCAACGACAGAAACCCAATGGTAAAACATAAAAAACCAATAATACTAACGCGGTCGCGCCACCGCCGGGAAACGAGTTCGGTGGAGAGAACGAGGGCAGACGTGCCGACTGTGGCTCGGCCGAAGCCGCAGATGAAGCGCAGGGCGGCGTAGACTAGGAGGGAAGGGGAGGCGGCTGTGAGGGCGGCCGAGAGGGACATGAGAAGAGAGGAGAGGAGGAGCATGTTCTTGCGGCCGAGGCGGGAGTCGGCGAGGGTGGCTAGGAGGAAGCCGCCGGTGAGGCAGCCGAGGAAGAAAGAGGAGGAAGGGAGGGCGAGGAGGGCGGGGGAGGAGCATTGAAGGGACCAAGATGAGATTGTGGAGGTGTAAGGAGGGAGAGACCAGGACCAGGATGAAGGGGGGAGGTTGCAGGGGGAGGAGCCTGCAGCGGCGGCCGCTTCTGAGCAGGAAGGGGAAGTGCAGTGCCAGGGTGGCATAGCGTCGGCGAAGACGTTGATGAAAGTTTGTTGGGCGTCGAAGACCCAGGCAAGGGCGGCGAGGGAGGCGGGGAGGAGTTGGGCGGCGGCGGTAGTGGCTCCGATGTGGCTTTCAATGGCCTCGTCGATGGAGTGGGTGGAGGGTTTAGGTATTTGGTGTGAGGAGGAGGAGGCGGAGGAGGAGGAGGCGGAGGAGGAGGAGGAGGAGGTGGTGGGGTAGGGAGGGAGTAAGGGGGTGGTATCGGCCATTAATTTCTTTCTAGCTAGTTCCTAGCTTCTCTAGGAAAATTCTCAATGTTTTGAATTGGAAGGGAATTCCTCTCAAAAAAATGGGATTAAAAAGGACGATAAAGTAGATCACATGCCTCAATTTGTATCAATTTAAAATTTTGGCAAAATTAATAATTAATAAGATAATTGTTATTAATTCCCTTTTATTTATTTGAACTTTATTGTGGGCTAAAAATTTTACGTCCATCGATATTAATTTTAAGTTTTAGTTATGCATGAATATTCAATGTAGGTAATTGAAATGTTAAAGAAATACAGAGATTTTTACGTGGAAAATCTAAAAAAAAAAAGGAAAAGTTAGTGGGCCTCGCCCAATTGAAAAGATTTCACCATTGTTTAAATAGGTTACAAAAGTAAACCCGTTTTTCAACTTGGGGACAATGTGAATATAATATGTTGAAGATCTTGCTAAACTTTGTATTAATACAGCATATATCAGAAATCATATATCAACAGTTAGGAGAATGTTCAACACAGGTACCGAGATGGTCGGAGATCCAGCAATACTCAACGAATATAAAGAATCAAAGAAGTCTGATGATAATCGGTGATCGTGAAGAGATTAGAAGACAGCCCACGAACGGGTAAATGTCTAACGATGGTCGATGGTAAGGAAGAGATTTGACAGCTGCACATGAACGGGCTAAAGCTTGACGATGGTTAGTGGTTGGGAAGAGTTCTAGCGTTAGTCGATGAGCAGGCGGAAATTCAATAACGGTCGGTGGTCAGGAAGAGATCTGACGGTGGTTGACGAACGGACAGAAGTTCAACAACGGTCGATGGTCGGGAAGATTTCTGACAAAATCCGACTAACAGCCAGAAGTTCAGCAACGATCGATGGTCGAGAAGAGATCCTGTGGTGGTCGACGAACAGACTGGTGTTCGACGGTGGTCATTGATCAGGAAGAGATCTGACGACAGCCAACGAATAGGACAGAAGTCCAACGACGGTCGGTGGTAGAGAAGAGATCAAGCGGTCGTCGATGAACAAGTCAGATTTCGCCCATCGACCATGGTCGTTGGTCGGGAAGGGATCCGACGAAAGTTGACGAACGGGGTAGAAGTCCAGCAACAGTCTGTGGTCGGGAAGAGATTCGACGATTGTCGACAAACAAGCTGAAGTCTGCTGATGGTCGGTGATTGGGAAGAGTTCCAGGAGAAGCCAATGAATGAGCAGAAGTTTATTGACGGCTAGTGGTCGGGAAGATATCCGATTATGATCAACGAACAGGTCGGAGTCCAGTGATGGTCGGTGGTCGACGACAAGGGAGTTCCCCAAATTTTCTCCTTTTCTTCCTCCTTCATATGAAGAATATGGGGCTATTAATAGTTTTTTTTTTGTTAGTGGCATAGTTAATAAATATGTAAAAGATCAAGAGTATGTTGGGAGTATTCCATCAGATGACTCTTATTGATCCTCTTGATCATGAAATATTTATCAAGCATTTAGATGTCCTAGAGATGTCAGAATTAAGTGATCTTGAGCTTATTGGATTCATCTCGTTGAGCCACTCGATTCGACTATAAACATGTTATATTTGAAAATTATTAGATCATCCAATTAATGCTTTGAAGTTTTTCAAAAATATTTTGGTCCTTTGATTTAAACCCATTCGGATTCGGATTAGACCGATTTTGGTGTCGTTAGATTCGGCTGGCTATTCGAGATGTTCAATTTTATTATAAGCGTATTGAAATAAGAGTTTGGATTGTTCTGATTTTAATTTCTAAAGCTTCAATTTTATATTTGTATTGGGATTCGTGCTCGATCAAGATGAATTTTTGGTGACCTATTTGAATATATTAATATTTTCAGAAAATTTTACTTAAAAAAATCCCAAAATCATTAAAATTTTAAAATTTGCATATATTATACTCAACTCTTGAGATTTATCATGATGAAAATTTTGACTAGAATATTATGAATTTATTTATTTTTTGTTTTATTCAATTTAAAAATTAAAAAAAATTAATTTACTCTTTATAATACTAAATATCATTATCTTCATCCTCAACGATTAACATGATAATATTGTTCAAATAAAAATTATATTAAGATCTTATCAGGATAGATTTGCAATACACTAAATTTATTTTAAAATTAATATAATATAAGTACTTTATACATCATATTAATTTTAAAAAAAAATCAATAATTTTTAAACTCATCAGAATTTTTTTTTTTTCAAACGAATGCTTAGACTTCGTTTAGAACAGCTTTCTTATTGTTTCTTAAAACAAATTTTTAATATAAAAATTAATTTTTTTGTATTAAAATTTAGCTTTAAGAAACAGTAAGAAAATCATTCCAAACAAAGTCTTAGACTTAGGTTTCATTTGGGACGACTTTCTTCCTGCTTTTTAAAGCAACTTTAAAGTACCAAAATTAAAACTTTTGTACTAAAAAGCTGCTTTAAGAAGCATTAAGAAAGCCGTCCCAAACGAAACCTTTTAATCTTCGTTTGAGATAAGGATGTAAATAAGTCGAGTCAAGCTCGAATAACAGCAAACTCAAGCTACTCGAGCTATACTTGTCACTCCAAACAGCTGCTCGAACTCGAGCTTGACTCGTCTATTTTCTCTCAGGCTCCAAAAGCTCGAGCTCGACTTCGTTTCGCCAGTAAGTGTCGGCTGTGTCAATACATAAAAATTCGAACCCAAAATTGTTTAGTTGGAAGCTTAAACTCTAGGTGTCAAGATAAGCTGTCTGTCTGTAGGAAGAAAGCTTGCTCGAAAAAAATTAATAAGAATTAAGTCTTTTAGTAGAGATAGGGATGCCCAAGTAGGTGAGGGACGTGTTGACATTATGAATACCAAGTTCCTCACAAATGAGTTGATTGTTTTGATGATGCTTGGGAAAAATGATAGCACTTTTGTTCGCATTAACATGAAGCCCCGATAAAGATCCAAATAAGTTTAAACAACCATTAAGATTAACAGCATTATCTTTAGTGGCCTCCCCCACCACTAATAAATCATCTGCATACATCAAATGGTTGATGTATAAGTCTTTACTTTTTATGCCTTTGAAGTGGAGCTCCGAGTTGCTAATGAGAATGTTGGACAAACCGTCCATGACAATGCAGAATAACAGAGGGGATAGGGGGCAACCTTGCCTAAGACCAGTAGAAGATTTAAAAAACCCCTCAAGAGAGCCATTGAGGCAAATAGAGAAATGTACATCATCAATGCACCCTTTAATCCAAGACACAAAAGTTTCAGGAAAACCTTTTTGAAGCAATCTGGAAATAAGAAATTCTCTAGAAACAGAGTCGAATGCTTTTTTGATGTCCAACTTGGCACAGAAGAATTTGTGGGATCCCCTAAAATCCCTAAGAATCTCAAAAGCAAGAATAATATTGTAAGTGGAGCATCTATTAGTGATAAAACCAGCCTGGCTTTCATGAATAATACTAGGGAGGACAACTTTCAGTCTATTGGCAATGATCTTAGCCACAATTTTGTAAAGCACATTGCAAAGAGATATGAGTTTGTAGTCATTGATCTTAGTAGCATGAGAACATTTAGGGATAAGAGCAATGGCCGTGGCCTTCAGTCCTCTAGGAAGAGAGGAAGTAGAGAAGAAATTGTTCACAGCATTAAAAAATTGAATCCCAAGGAGGTGCCAAGACTTTCTATAAAAAGCATAAGTGAAACCGTCGGGGACCGGAGCAGAGTTCTCATTTCCATCAAAAACCGCATTTTTAACTTCTAAATAAGTCAAAGGGGCCACCAATGAAGCCATAAAACAAGGAGGTACTAACTTGCCAGCAGGAATGTTCAAAGGCAACGACAAAAGAGCATTAGAGGCATTAAATCTATCCTCAAAATGTTTAACTATAGCAGAGGAAATGTCGGAAAAATTAGTGAAATGTCCATCCTGAGTAGTAATCTCTGTGATATTGTTGTAGTTTCTTCTACTTCTAATCCTGGCATACAGAAACCCAAGATCATCTTCACCATGAGTAAGCCATAAAGCTTTGGCCCTCTGAGCAACCCAGGAATTCCATTGAGCTTGCAAAGAGGCAACATCATCATTGATCATCTTAAGATTGTCATTGAGCTCCCTATCAAGAGGTTGACTTTGAATCTCAGTAAGACATTTATGCTGTTTGCTTCTAACTTCCAGTAAAGCATTGGAGAGAGACGTGGAGGAAGCCCAATGTTTACTCTTGAGGGCTCTCTTAACAATTTTGAGACTGTGACAAAAAGCAGCCAAATGACTTCTAGACGATCTAGAAGAGAAAGCAGAAATAACCTCATCCCAATAACCCTCTTTATGAATCTAGTAGTTTTTGAACATGAACATAGCAGATAAAGGTTTCTCATGCGTAGAATTAAGGATTAGAGGAGAGTGGTCTGAACCTAGGGGAGTTCCAACTATGTAGTAGGCCTTAGGCAAAAAATCAAGGAATGCATTGTTAACCAAAACTCTATTCAGCTTAATGTGAATAGGATCATCCACCCTTTGATTGAACCAGGTAAAAAACAAACCCGTTGATGAAAGATCTTGAAGGCCACAGTTGAAGATCATGTTGTTTAACTCCCCCAATCTGCTACTAGACAACAAAGTGCCTCCCATTTTTTCAATATCGAACCGACAACAGTTGAAGTCTCCCATGATCACTCAGGGTTGATCCACAGGAGGTATATGATCTACAAGATTTTCCCAAAGGAATTTCCTATCCTCCAAGGAGTTTGCAGCATAGATAACAGATAAGTAAAGAGGTGGGAAGGATCCCACCGATAGCACTCCATGAATAAGTTGGAAAGTGGAGAATAATTGGTGAAAAGAGAACACAAAATTGTCCCATTTGATCCAGATTCTGCCCGGATTAGAATCTGAAAAATTATTAGTGCTCCCCTCATTCTCAAAAAGTCTATGAGAACGCAAAAACCACAAATCTTACAACAAAGAAGTGGCAACTTTGGCTTCCAAAATACATAACATCTTAATGTCGTGGTCTTTGATCAGAGATCTGCAAAAACAAACTTTGTCAGGGTTATTGAAACCCCTCACATTCCAACTAGCTAGAGTTGGCAAAGACATTAAGAAAATTGAGATTTGGCCTTCTTGGCCAATTTCCCCTTGGGAGGCTTTGACTTGACTTGTGACTTTCCATTTTCAACTGAAGACCTTGTATTATGAACAATATTGTCTCTACCTTTTGAAGTCAAACTATCTGTCTCCGTGTTAGAACAGGAAGCCGAGTCTGCTTCCGAGATTGTCTCCAAAGTATCAGTCAGAATTTGGTCATCAGATTGAAGAGAAGCAAATTTATTTAAGAGAGAGATGTCAGGAGGAAGAGGAATCTTAGGTGGACGCTGGAAAGCTGAAGAGGTAGACTCTTCAGTGGGAGAATTAAGATTCGGTAAGGGTTGATTTTTTTTCTGAAGGAGGGTTAGTGATGGAGACGGGAGGAGGAATAGTGGAGCTAGACGGTAAAGAAGGAAGTTTTCCAGGGGGAGCCTGTTGGTTTGGAAGCATACTAGGGGAAGAGCTAGACGGTAAAGAAGGGAGCTTTCCAGGGGAAGAAACAGGAGGGGGAATGGTTGTTAGGGGTGTGGAGTTGGGAACAACCAAGTTGTTGTTGGGTTTAGGAGGGGGTTGAATTAAAGGGGATCTGTGGGGGCGGGTAGAGTGAGGTCTAGAGGAACTACGTCCCCTAGTTTTGGGAGGTTGAGAGGGGATGACTGGTTGAGGATTGGGGTTATTAGGACATAAAGAGTAAGGATGTATCAGAGAGCCGCAACCTTCGCATTTCTCGGGTTTCCAGTCGTATAAAACTTTTAACAGAAGGTCTTCACCATCAATGTCTATAGGTATTTCATGAGGCAAAACAGAATCTTTAGAGATAAGGACACATACCCGGGAAAATGTAAGTCTAGTTCGATTAGCAATGAGAGAGTCTACCGAAATTGGAATGCCCACAAAACTTGAGATTTTTGAAATACCCGTCGGAGTCCACAGCGCAAGCGGGAAATCTACGATTTTGATCGAAATCGGAATGGGAGCGGATTCATCACGCTTTGGCTTGAACTTAGGAGACCACCTTTGCAGAATGAAGGGTTTCCCCAACAGAAACCAGGGACCACCCGAAAGGACCATCTCAAGATCTTCCTCAGTGGAGAACTTCAATAGGAAAAAACCATCGGCTAGAGAAAGAAGAGTCATATAGCCTTTTAGGGTCCAAAGCCTTTGCATCGATTTGAGCAGTCTCTCGTAGTAGGGACGAGGGCCAAGAGAGTACCCAATAAGGGCGGAAGTCCATATATTCTTGCCTTCATGCAAATCTTCTGCTTTAAAGGAGAGCTTTTGAGGAGGGGAGTAGAAGGTTACCGAAAAAGTCGCGGGCTTGAAGGAGGAAGCCAAAACATTAGCAGCGTAAGAAGGTCCGCCATTCCCCGCCTTGGAGAAACCTCCAGGAGAAGGACCCAAAACAGAAGTAGGAAGAGGAGGAAAGTCGGTGGAGGAAGTGTCCATCGGAGGAGGGAGAGGCCCTCCCGGACGAGGGACGGGAAGAGAGCACAAAGCGGCACAAACCCTAGCAGAGCGCAATCGCTAGAAAAAACTAAGCTTGTCTGTCTCTTTCTATCTCCACTTGTGCTTCTTTGTGAAGCTACTCTCTCCTGGTTGACAAGAAATTACATCTCATCTCGTGGTCCAAAGTGACTCTTCCAAAAGCTTTTGGTGGACTTGGCTTACCATCTATTGATGTTATTTATTTTGGGGTTTCTTGTGCCATTTTAGGCAGATTTTTCAACTCTCAGAATCTTTTAACCAATTGGTACAAAATTAAATACATATCTCCCTGGAAGCCAGTCCCCTCTACTGCTTCCAAATTCTGGCAAAGAATCACTCAAGCTGCCCATAATATCAAAGAGAAAATTTCTTTTTCTATTTCTCAAAACTGTTATTTCTCTTTTAAGTGGGATCCTTGGCTTTATGGTTCTATGTTTAATGAGTTGATTGGTTCGGGCATGGATGATCTGCTGGTTAATGATTTTTTGAACAAGGGAGTTTGGATTCTGCCAAACTCCATTTCTGCTGTGCTGGCTATCAAAATCAAAGCTGTTATTTTCTCGGAGAAGAATCAGGTTTGCTGGAATGGTTCGGTTAAGTGGGCTTTTAATAATTTTATTGACCACTATTACTCTCATCTCACTAAGGTGGACTGGCACACCTAGATCTGGCATAAACATTTCTCACTTAAATTTGCTTGCTTCTCTTGGATGGCGGTGGTTGGCAAGCTTAAAACTGCGGATAACATACTTTTAAGAGGCATACAGATCCCCATAAATTGCAGTTTGTGTTCTGGTAATTTAGAGAATCATTCCCACTTATTTTTTGAATGCGATTTCTCTTTTTACATTACCAAAATTTTATTGCCGGACATCAACGCCTTTTTGCTTAGACCTAACCTGCATCAGTTATTGGATTTTTTTGGTAATGCTGTGGGTTATTGCAATGCCGAGAAGAATTACTGTTTCCTTATAATTAGTTGCATAATCTATTACATATGGAAAGAACGGAATCTCCGTCGTTTCTCCACTGACAGAAACAATATCACCAAAATTATATGCAACATCAAAGAGGCGGTTAGATTCAAAACATCAAAATGGAAAAACATAAATTTCTTACAGCAGACGTTTTCGGGTGTTTAATCCTCTCGGAGTATTCTTGCTGGCAGGTTGTTATCCTTTTGCTGTTGCATCATTTTTGGGCTGGAATTCTTGTGCTGGAGGCTATTGCTAGCCTCAATTTTTGGTTCTCCTTTACTGTTCAGACCTGAGAAGACAAGTTTTGGGATTTAGTCCAAATCTCTGTTGGCTTTATCCAATTTTTTTGTGGAAATTCAGCCTTTCATTTCTCAGGTATACTTCAAAGACAACATTATGCAAGATATGGTTTTGCTGTGCTTACGGACGATGATGAGCGAGGCTATTCTTTCGATGCCTTGGATGGCCTGCGGGGCAACCAGACATGTTTTTGTGCTCTTATCTACACCAGCTGGTGGCGCTGTGATGACAGGCTTTGGTGCTGACTGGCAACCGGTTCCTCAGCCTGGGCATTTTGAGATCTCCACGCTTAATCTGGACGATCTTAGCCTCTTTTTTCTGAGTCTATTATGTATTGCCAGCTACTATTTTTGCTTAATGTTGTCTTTGTGTATATTTATAATTACTTGTAACTTAAACTTCGTTTCTTAATATATGGGCCTTGGCCCCGAGTTTACCCCCAAAAAAAAAAATTTTAGAAGAAGGGCTGTTCTCGAAGAGGTTGCTTTAATTATTGTACTGCAGCTTTTTTGGTGGAACAGTGTACGCATCTTTAATTTGATTAGAAAAAATAGGCTGCAACAGCTTTTTCTATTAAAAAAGAGAAAAAAAAAAAAAAAACAACAACCGCTATTTAATTGTTTTTTTAAAAATCTGCACTATGTTATATAGTGTTATAATTAGATGTATAATAAAATTTACCAAAAATAAATGTTATATAATTTTGTGTTGCATAAAAACTAGGTTAACTTAAATTTTAAATAATTAATTAATTCAAGCCGTGATGAGACGAATTTTAACAAGCTTGAATTTGAGCTCATTTAATATTCTAGAGGCGCAACATCATCCGGATGCGAACGTAGAGGCGCAACATCATCCAATGCACGGTGCATTGCATGACGTGGCTCCATATTCGCCTCCGGACGCATTCGGCATCTGCACGTAATAATCTCCATATAAAACATTTAGAAAATTATCCAAACAAAATCTTAAATTCTCTTTTTTTCCCTGCCCTGCAAATTCTTTTTTTTTTATTTAAAAGAACAAGGTCAAAGCCTAATTTCACGATGCAAAAAGAAAAAAGAACGTGAATTGCGTTTGATGAGTTAGAAAAGTGTGACCAGCATAAGAACCACGAAACAATCATGCAGTTATAGCAGTAAAAGAAAGCAAATAGTGTACGAAACAAAAGCTACCAAAAACAAAGCTGAAGCACAAGCACAAGCACAACGTTCTGGAATAAGCTTGAAAAGGATAAGCTGAAGCACAAGCACAGCAACAAACTTGGGAATTCCTTGAAATAAAGATCAACAATAAAACTTCTTAGAAGCGGCCGCAAAAGCCAAGAACAACAGCAGGGAAGACCACAAAACTGATAAAACTGGTAAAAATCAACAACAGTGCCCAACATATACAGCCAGTAGAGCAAGACCAAAAACCGCAGGTAATCCATGGTGATAAGGAAAACAGCCATCAGTCAAAACACAATTCTATCTGTCAACAAAATCCATTTCTACTAAAGCCTCGTTTCAGACAGCTTTCTTACTGTTTCTCAAAATGATTATTTAATATAAAAATTTTATAAAAAAAAGCTGTTTTAAGAAGCAGCAAAAAAGCTGCCCCAAACAAAGCCTAAGAGTTACAGCAACAAGGAGAAGAAAAGCTTTGGCATAAGCCATCCTCCATTACTCGAGTAGAGTTTCAACATTATTGGGCCACAAATTTTTAAACTTAAACAACAATAATAACAACAATAAGCTTTTATCCCACTATGCCGGTTACGAGCCACTTGAGCTTTTGCATCGAATTTTCCTATTGTGTAATTTCCATTTTGGAGGATAAGAATTTTGTTACAAAGAAAACGATCTTCCTGTAGTTAAGATAAAGATTATAAACAACTCAGTGCATCAAGAGACTAATATAACAATTGATATAAAGTATACCCTTTTAAGATTTTTATGAGTTCATAAACTTTCTGTTCATGTAAAATTTTAAGCTGATCATTGTTTTTTTTCTAAACATTATTCCAGTAATAATTAAGTCAAGTTGATGCTCAGTTCGTCTTAAAGCTCAGACATTAACAAACAAAATCTAAAGATAACTTTCCACATTATTCAACTACATATGATGCAGATGCATAACTAAGCAAGAAAGTACATATAGACTAAGGAGATGTGACTTATGAAAAGTTTAATTTATCTTGAACCCTGAATTTTTCAGATTAACTGTGTAATCAATACCATCATTAGCAGCAACAACAACATTAACTTTAACCCAATTATTTATGGGTTGGCTTTCTGAATCTTCACTTTGAATTCATTAATGTACTGCTACTTGAGTGTTAGACCATCCGCAACCGAACATAAGTGTATGCTGCTCGCCAAATGATCTAATCTAACGCGAAATTGTCCGCTAATCTCCGGAGGTGAACAGTGCAATGCCAATATTCAACTACGCCAAAAAAATTGGCTTACAGGATTTGCGGAAGAAGCACGCGAAAGAGGAGAAGAAATGAAGTTCGATTAGAGATGCATTACTGTATTTTGGAGTGAAAAATGAAGTTTTCGGTTGAAGATGCCCTTACATCCATTTAGCGTAATCTTTCTTTTGCTCATAGGTGCCAACTAATCTGGTTGGTAAAAATCTTGAAAGTTGCTAGGATCCTAAATTCGATTCTCGCTTGCATCATATATGCTTTGGTCAAACACTTTAGACTTTATTAATCCTTTCATATGTATTTCACCTGTCTATTGCTCATCTTCTACCCTCTTTCCTACAAACCTAAATCTTTTAAATCTATTTTTTATTATTATATTCTTAATAATTGCTCCTATGAATCTCAGGTTTAAATATTTCTCAATATATTCCTCCTAAATTATCAACATTCTCAATTCTATGAATAACCTTTTTTATTGCTTGAGACTCATCCATATTACACAAGGAGACAATTTGATAAAATATGGGAAGTATATAATCCCCTTTAAATTTGTGAAACTACTCCATCCAAAAGGTTGAGATCAAGCTCTGAGCAGCGTTAAAGTGACAATTAGTGTCAGGCTTTCCAGCCATACCTATAATACCCAGGCAAAAACGACAGGAAGATAAAGGCAAGAGAGCTTTGCTAGACAAGAAAGAAGATAAGCTTAATGAGGCTCCTATAAAAAGTCGAGCAAGATGAAGACAAACATAAATATATTAAAAGATTACTATCTCAGAAACATATTTGATAAAAAGGAATAAGATTGAGATGTACCATGGGACCCACTAGATCCAAATACAAGCATGATTTAATTGATGTCCATCATTCGAAAGTCCTCCCACTTTACTCACCAATAATGCCAGACCTTACATGAGAAGAATAAACAATTAGAAGGGAAATGGCTCAAATACTCCTTAGAGAATAAACGGTGCAAAGCTAAAAGCACATGAAACTAGTTTTTTAGACCTATTTATCATATACATGTCATCCCTGACTAGGCATTTGGAATTGAAAATTGACATGCTTGTGTAAACAAAATTATGAGAAGCAAACAAGATGCATAATAACTTAAATTTGCTCTTGCATTAGCCAAAACATGATTTCCAATAGAAGCTGCAAAGATTAATATCAAGGACAAGTTCATAATTCTTATTGATAATTTTTAAGCTAAATTCATGATTGCAGTGCCGAGAATGCATTGCAGAAACCAAAAGGTATAATGATTTGTTAAAATCTAACCTACGTGCAATCCTTATATTTTTAATGACAGTATTATAGAAAAAACGCAAACAAATAAGTGATTTCCTACATTAAGGCCTATAATCACAATTATTTATAGTTTCATATTCATGAAGTTGGAAGTAATATTCAAGGATATGGCCTAAACTTAGGAGTTACTATTATAAGAAAATGGTATCTTTCAAGCTGAAGTTAAGTTTTCACTATTGACTCTTGATCTGCAAAAATTATTGAACTTAGTAACCTCCAAAAAGCCTATCATGTAGCATAATAGTTTATTTGGAGTAATAAATACAAATGTTTTTTTTTTCCTTCATACGTTTAGTGTGCCAAAGCTTTCATTTGGCAGATAACAGACTAATAAGAGTTAACATCCAGATAGAAAAATGGTTCAATATTAGTAAGGAATCAAGATTGCATGGCAATTGATACAACATGCCCATATTTAACTGGACGGTGAACGATTCGATTTCAAGCACATTTGACCTTGGTTCAAAATCTGCTTAAAGTCCTATGATTTGATCTCAACTTGACCAAGACACGGCTCACTGATTTTGATGTAGGCAAAAAATTTCAATTTTTTTCTTATTTGGGCATTTATTGGTGGGTTGTTTTTCTTCTATTGGGCTTGACCCATTTTTCCTTCGCTGCTTGGTATTTGGAAAGCTCGGCTGATGGGTTCTTGGCTGGCCGTGCCTCTCCTTGGTGGCTGTTCGGTTGACTGGCTGCTCAGTTCCTGGTTTGGCCGTGCCTTTCCTTGGTATTTGTGGGGTTTCCTGACTGTATGGTTCCTGGGTTGGCTATTGGGACGCCTAGCTACTCGATTCCTGGGCTGTGGTCGTGCCTTGTTCTTTGGGTTTTTTTCCTGTTTTGATTAGATGCTTGGGTGGCACTTGTGGTAGGCTGTTTGGATTCCATTTTCCTATTTAAGGGGCTATTTGCTGCTGTTTTTAAAAGAGAGAGTTATGTGATGATTTTTGGAATGAAACCTTTAGGTTTTCAATAGCTTGCGAGCTATCATATTCGACCTCCCTATCTTCTTAAACTTCGTCTCGGACTTTTATCTACTTTCATCTCTCCATGGTAACCATTCCATTTGTATCTTTCTTCTCTTTAAAATTTTGTAAGTTATAAGGTAGTTGCGTCGTGTATTGTCCTAATGTAATTTGAAGTGGCTTCGAAAAGTGGTAAGGTGTATCTTTATTTTATAATGGTATTGTCAAGTTTATGTTTAAGGTAGGCGTATAGATTTGTGTTTTTGCAATAATACTTTTAGGTTGCATCAATTTGGTATGGTATCAGAGCCTTAGGTTTTAGTATGTCTTCCTTTCTTTTCCTTAAAAATTAAAAAAATAAAAATAAAAAACGGACAATCATCAACAATCTGAAAGTCAAGATGATATAGAATATGTTGTTGATGAAAGTCAAATGCCTTGGATTCAAGGAAAAAAAATTCTGTCATGAATTGGGTACCAACTCAAGGATGTTCAACAGATCCACTCCAGAACGAGTATTACAAAATTCAAGAAAAAAATGAGCTTTTGTGCAAAAAAAAAAAATGAGAGTTAGAAGCGTTTACTTCTAGCCGAGTTTAATCGAGAAAAGGAGATGATCGAAAAGAAGTATGCTGCTTTAATTTGCGAGTTAGATATGGCTCAGTCTGCACTTGATGGAGGTTCTAAAGCTATCTCATTAGGAGATGAGATTTCTCCACCAAGGGAGAATTAATGTAGGCAAAAAAATTCAATTTTTTCCTTATTTGGGCATTTATTGGTGGACTGTTTTTCTTCTATTGGGATTGGCCCATTTGTCATACACTGCTTGGTGTTTGGAGTGCTCGACTGATGGGTTTTCGGCTGGCCGTGCCTCTTCTTGGTGGCTGTTTGGTTGTTGGCTGCTCGGTTCCTGGGTTAGGCGTGCCTTTCCTTGGTGTTTGTTGGGTTTCCTAGCTGTTTGGTTCCTGGGCTGGCTGTTGGAATGCCTGGCTGCTCGGTTCCTAGGCTGGTCGTGCCTTGTTCTTTGGGTTTTTCCCCTGTTTTGATTTGATGCTTGGGTGGCACTTGTAGTAGACTGTTTGGATTCCATTATCCTATTTAAGGGGTTGTTTGCTACTGTTTTTAAAAGAGAGAGTTATGTGATGATTTTTGGAATGAAACCTTTGGGTTTTCAATAGCTTGCGAGCTATCCTCTTCGACCTCCCTATCTTCTTAAACTTCGTCTCGGACTTCTATCTTATTTCTTCTCTCCATGGTAATCATTCAATTTGTATCTTTCTTCTCTTTAAAAATTTGTAAGTTGCTAGGTAGTTGTGTCCTGTATTGCCCTAATATAATTTGAAGTGGCTTCAAAAAGTTATAAGATGTGTTTTTATTTTATAATGGTATTGTCAAGCTTATGTTTAAGGTAAACGTATAGATTTGTGTTTTTGTAATAATACTTTTAGGTTGCATCAGATTTTGATCCAAGAAAAAAACTAATTTGATTTTGATATATTTTCAGGAAGTTTTCAGTTCAACATACATGCATATTAAATCATCTCTCTCTCTCTCTCTCTCTCTCTCTATTTATATATATATACACACACACATAAACATAAACATACACACATCAATATTTATGTTGGCAATTGATACACATAATTAATTCATAGATAAATGCATCACACACATCAATGTTTGTGTTGGCAATTGACATACATAATTCAGTCATAGATACAAGCATATATATTACAACCGTATCTTGATTTGGCTTGATCTAATCCTGGCTTAACTGAATTTAAACTTGATCCAAGTTGGATCATTAATTAACTCATTGAGTTCAATTAAAAAAAAAAAACCAATCCGATTTAAGAGTGAGTTTTGATCCCAAATTCAACTCTTAATTTTAACAACCATGAATTGCAAAACTAAGATAATGTTTGTCACATCTAAATCTTCTATGATAGCCATGAATATAAAGCTACCTTAAGTTAACACATACCACAAGTTGAAAAGAAATAAAATTATTTCAGTGACATGATATATCTATATGAGAATCTGTCAAAAAAGTTGATTCCCTCTTACTACGCCTAAGCACTTTCTATCACATCATCTCCAAAAGAATGATGCCAACAATATGTTGAAAAGAACTTTGAATGATTGATTACTACAATAACAAGGAAGATGTGGAAGGCTGAAAGGACAACAATGTAAAAACAAATGTCATTTGCGGGACTAAAATATGCAGATAGCATCGACTCTAATTGTTTTAGTTCAGGACTTTTGTTTTAATTCACAATTTCTGAACTACATAATTATATGAGTACATCGTATGATATTGTCAACAATTGCCAGAGAAAAAAACATACATAAGACAAAAAGTGATAGCATGATGCCCAAGGAAACATTTGATAGTAATCCGATCTCCTCACAGCAAAAAACAACAATAACGAAAAGTAAAGGCAGCAGAAATTAGTAAAATAATTTTATTTCGGCAAGATAAATCAAGATACAAGTTGATATCTATTCGAGAGGTAAATCGGCTCTCAACAAACCCTAGGCGCTGCTTGGAACAAATCCAAATAAAACTAGAGCAAAACACAATTCACATAATGAAAATAAACAACCCAATTAGCCCTAATATAAACCTTCCTATTTTCTTCCCAAATCTGAATTCAAATCATCCCTCTTTCCCTAAATAAACCTGTCCTAATTCCCTCCCAAATCTAAATTCACATTACACTCTTTCTCAAAATAAATATTTTCAAATTCCCTCTCAATTTTGATTTTCTATGGTAAGTAATTAAAAGTGGAATTATTCCCCTTTGAGTCCCCCCTCTTCTTGCTCACTCTACTGGGGTCCATCGGCTCAGTTGCCGATCCATCAATACTCCCCTCCCAAAAAGTCACATTGTCCTCAAGGTGGAAAGAGGGTAACTATTTCTAGATGGTACTGTAGGGCTCCCATGTCACCTCATACTCTGGTAAATCATTCCATTTAATTAGCACCTCCCTGATCCCCTTATATGCTTAGCGCACCATCTCTGGTAGTTTTAATATCACCTCCATATCATCTGACAGTATGGCCGCTAGTGCGGATGAGAGTGCGTGGTTTCCAATGGCTCGTCTCATTTGCAATACATGAAATACGAGATGGAAGACTGAGGCCGGTGACAAACGCAGGTGATATGCTATTGTGCTAATGTGTTCAATGAATATATCATTCTTTTTGTATCAATAAATCAATAACAGTGTCAATAATAAATCCTTACATTAATATGAATAATGCTCAAATAATATTTATTCCAACAGTCACATTAAACAAGTAAGAATTATGCCTATCACAATGTTTTTCAATATCGGTGTAAGTATCAATAGTCATTAGCTTAGTAAATAGACTTGTTACCCTTTGCCCATCGGCACAGTAATCATCTCCTTATAACTCTCAATCAGTGTTTCACGTGAATCAATAGAGGATAATATCAAACCATATTATTTAAAGAAAAGCTTATAGGCCTACCATCATGTAAAGGTCAATCAGTCTCTAACCATTAGTCAACCAGTCTTTACTTATCTTTTACGCATACATATTATTATCACATTACTATAATAGTAAAAATGATTAGCTATTTTTCAATCACATACACAC